CATTAACGTTATTAGTCATATTAGTGCTGTTCTGCTTTGGCTTTTGATTCTTTTTCTTTTTCTTCTTTTTCTTTTTGTTTACATTTTTGGATTGGTGATCCAGTTCGGACATAGTCGTTGTTGCTTCCTCATGCTGTATGAAATTATTTTCTTCTGTTGCTGCGACAATATTCGAGTCACGAAATTGATTAAACGGCATGGGACCAGGACCAAAACCTGTGGGAACAAAACCTTGTGCCGGAAAAGGAAAACATTGAGGAAAAGGTTCAGGACGTTGTAAAATCCTTAACGCTGTGACTAAACTTGATTTTTCACACTCGAGTTCCTGCACTGTTCTCCTTAAGCCAGTTATGCTTTCTCTTAATTGACCCACTTCTTCAGTAAGGCGAKAATTTTCTTCTTGTAATTTRCAATTCAAATCAKGAACCTCGTTGTTGTTGTTGTCATCTTCTTTATCTTTCCCGCCATTTTTTGAAAGTAAACGAATATCATCTTTAATCTTGTTTATGTCTTGTACGATTGACTCTAGGTCAGTTTTGAATTGTAAGCACTCACAGGGATTAGYAGACGAATCTATAGAAACATCTAWGTTGCCATTTAATGTGTCATACGAAGAATTATCTTCGACATCTTTGGAAGCTTCTCTTTCCGCTTGACCGCCATCATTAGAAGTCGAGTCAGATTCAACTTTATCTTCTGCTTTAAGATAGTCAGAAAAAACCCTGTTGAGTCCTTGACTGCCGGATCCTTGAAGAAGGATTTTTCTTGTAGTCTGATATAGCTTTACAGTACAATCTGCTGCCTTAAAAKACTGCATTTTATGGTGTTTGTCCTCGTTGACTTCGGCTGCCAAAATCGATTCATCATCCAAAAGATCAAAAACTAATTTCTTCAAGGAATTAACATCTTTGGACCACAAAAAGTAGCTAGAATCACTATCGTAGGTTAAATACTTCTTAAAATTCGAATTATCCATAATTTGGAGTGTTATACTAACAGAAACTAGCAAATTTGCAAGAGCTTCGTGTTTTAGATGTGCACTCGTTGAACAGACGAGAGAGAGAGAGAGAGAGAGAGAGAGAGAGAGAGAGAGAGAGAGTAGTTCCACACATTTTCCATATCTTCCCCTTCCCCACAGAGAATTTTCGATTTTCATGGGGTGGAGGGACCAGAAAAAGGGTAAAATTCACAGTTCTATGCGAAAGAAAATTTGAATTTCCGGGGTAAGGGAACGGTTCTATTAATTACACTTTTTTGAATATATATTATATATTTGATAAAAATTACGTTTTGTATTTTTTGTTAAAAATAAACAGTAAACAATATATATATTTACGCTGGCTTATAAGGGAAATGAGATAATCTTCTTAAATCGTAAGATAATTTTTCTTAAACTAACAGATAATTTCTTAAACTGTAAGATAATTTTTTCTTAAAATATAAGATAATTTCTTAAATAGTGAGATATTTTTTCTTAGAAAGGTAGATAATTTTTCTTTAATAGTGAGATATTTTTTCTGAAAATATGAGATACTTTTTTCTTAACTAGTGAGATAATTTTTCTTAAAGTATGAGATTTTTTTTTTTTAAATATGAGTTATTTTTTTCTTAAATAGCGAGATAATTTTTCTTAAAAAGTGAGATAATTTTTCTTAAACAGTGAGATAATTTTTCTATTGGGACTACACGTGATCCCCAGGTAATTCACGTGGTTTATGCTTAACAATGGCAGATGTAAAAGTGTTTCTGTTTCTTGTTAGCTTTATTTCTTATTACTTAGAGGCGACCGCAGTAGTTCCTCCTTACCATCCTGCTATTAATGGAAACCAGAATGCATCAAGAAATCTTCTGATAAGAAATTACTTCGATCTTGGGTTCAATTATATAGAAATAGCAGCCTTCCTGTTGGTACTGTTGACAGAGAAACCGAAACCTTACGATTACTAGATCCAGAGGGGGTTGAAATCCGTTTAAGGTGGCTGCCTACTTTTGAACGTTCGATTTGAGCCCACGATGTGCGCGCGCTCAAAAACCGCTGAAAAATCTACAAGATTTTATTGAAGAACCATACACGTTTTCAGCTTCAACAGGGCACAACCCTCAAATTTTGCACGGGACTATATTTTTCGATAGCTCATTCGAAAAAACTCCTAAAAATCAAGGTTATATCAACATTTTAGGAAAAGTTTAAATCAGGAACACTTGAAAAAATAGATTTTTGTAGGGATTTTTGTTCGACTTTATGAGATTTTTTAAGAGCACCGAAACTACAAAATATGACAAATCAATGTATCTCTCTGTCTTTTTGTCAAAATATCCATGTATTATTGAAGAAGGATTGACTAGCCTTCGTTCGTGCAATCATACAGTCTGCAAATAACTATTATCTTATGAATCTTTTTTTTTTCTAATCACTTCCGGTGGCGCAATTTTTACTCCAAAAGCTCGTGCGTAGACTCCCATTAAATGCTGATTATCTCGAAAAAGAGCTCGGGACACCCTATTTTTCTTTCCAGATTTGGAATCAGCATTAAATTTTCATTCGGAAAATCGAAGTTTTAAGAAAAGCTTTAATCAATTTCCAAAAGTAGGCAGTCACCTTAAAGAGAAAGTTGATGCGCAGACAGTACAAAGCACCGGGGCCTAACTTTATTTGGCACATCGACGGATATGACAAGTTAAAACCATTTGGGTTTTGTATTCATGCCGCAATTGATGGATACAGCCGTAAAGTTTTGTGGCTAAGCGTGGGTTCTTCAAACAACGACCCAAAAGTAATTGCCAAATATTTTATCTACTATGTCCGACAGGTTGACGGAATACCACGTGTGATTCGTGGTGATGCAGGCACAGGAAATGGGGATGTTGCAGGGATTTAAAGGTTTTTTCGTCGGAGTGGTACTGATGAATTTGCTGGCGAGAAAAGCTTTCTTTATGGAAAATCTGTTTCAAACCAACGCATAGAAGCGTGGTGGTCGACACTTCGAAAAACAAACTGCGACTGGTTGATAAACTTCTTCAAGGACCTGAGGGATAGAGGAGACTATTGTGATGCTGATCCGATTCATGCAGAATGTCTTAAATTTTGTTTTATGGATGTCATTCAAAAAGAGCTTGATGATGTAATGAATTGGAACTTGCACCGAATACGGTCGCAAAATGTTGAATCCCCTTCAGGAAGGCCTGATGTTCTTTACTTTTTGCAAGGACTAGAAGACACTCAAGACTATAAAATGGTGGTTTTAGAGGAGGACTTGGGAATAGTTGATGAATCATGTTGCCGCCAAGTACCAAAGTGCAGCAAAGAATTTGAAGAGATCGCAGAAATTTTAATGACCGAACATGATCCTCATTCACCCAATGATGATGAAGAAGCATTGATACTCTATTTTGAATTACTTCAGCAAATTGAAAACATATAAACGATTTATCATCGTGTTAAGTCCATGAGCCACTATTGGGTTGAAGCGATTGCATATAACTTCTTATAACAACACTCATAATTTACCAGTGGCTCTAGTCGAAGCTTGTCTTAATCATTATGTTTTGTTTGTGTAGGTGTGTGAATGCGAGCACCTTGAGCAAGATAAACGGAAAGCGAGTATTATTTTATTTGTTTATCATAAGATGAATGCATATGCCTTCAAACGTTTCAACGGTTTATTTAAAACAATTAGCAAATGTTTCAATAACAAATGTTAAGTTATAACGGTAGAAAATACCAAAGCTTTCAATGTAACTGTATAAAGATACGGACACACTGTGCAACATTGCGTCGCCAATGTTAGAGGCAATCGATGTTGCGAGTCATGTCAGGCGATTCAATTTGCAATGGTGCTGAAGTAGAAAACGATCCTACTTCAGCAACATCGCATGCAACATTGCCCGCAATGTTGTGCCGTGTGTCTATAGATTAACTATGCTAGTCCAACCATAACGAATACATATCAACGGCAAAAATACTAGACAAATAGCTATCCGCCTTTTTTAACCAATTTTACGTAATACAACACTGCTTGTTACTGGTTTCTAATTGTATACAGAGGCGCTTCAAAGAAGTTTCTCCGCTTTCCTCAGATCAATTATATGAAATCTATATTCCATTCCCCTTGGCGTATAACATTACTCCATTCTCCCCTAAAATCAGAGTAATTTGTGTAGGTGGAGGGTACTTGTAGTACAGCCCCACACGTATGAGCAATCGGCCGCCTTCTCATCCCTTCTACCTTCTACCTAAACGTAATCGTAATGCTATCTACGCACATAACATTACTTCCTGTTGTAAATCTCAAAAAGTTTTCCAACATATCTTCACTAAGACCTCTAATAAAACGTAAAAACTAAAACGTTTCCCTTTCGCAATTATTTAGGTTTTCGGGAGGGGTCAACATCTCCAAAACTTTCTTATTTGTAGGTGATAAAGAAGCATAGAGTGCAGATACATCTGCTACACTGCTTAACGCGGGCAATCTCAAAAAAAGCGGACGGAGTTCTGCCCAGCATTCAATGATGTATTGCGCCGCTTGTATGATTTCTCTATGCGCGATTTTTAGTATTAATTCTCTGAAATTACTAGCAGATGGCAATCTCTTACACTGAAATCTATCAAGAAGGTGGAAAATATCATCATTATCAACCTCAGAAAAGATATCTAGTGCCCGTTTGATAATTGACACGTTCGTCGTTAGAGACGAAACTTAAGAAACAGGAAATTAAATCATCGCTTGATAAAGCATGTTCTCCAAAAAGGAAAGTTACAAAAAAGCCCTTTGCGAGTTTTGTCGGAAAATATCCTAACTGTTTTATACCCAAGTATAATATAATGCCGACGGCTTTCCATTCAGATTTCTGGATATCATGCCTGAGTTGAGGTATTCTTGCATCTTCTCCAAGTGTGCAACTCTCGAAAAACGCACCCCAAAAACCAGTCAATGCGTCTCTTAGAAGCCCGCCATTGTCTTCGCCCATTTCTTGTTCCCCTTTGCCATCAATAAAATATATGCTTACTGAAGAGGTTGGAACGCCACTGGAAAAGGCCTTAATCTTGTAGAATCAGCGATCTTCTGATGTATATGATCCTGTAATAACGACAGACAGAAAAGTTGATTCTTTGTCGGCAGAAGAATGACCAAAATGCTTTTACGTCTCCAAAGCTAGTCAGTAAAAAGGAGCTGCTTTTCTCGAGCAATAACAATGATGATTTTATTTATTTAAAAGGCAGAGATAGCAAGAAATATTATATACAAGCAAAAACTATGTGGAGCGTGTAATTATAATTATCACCATGTTGTACGCATATATGTATACATTTCAGATATACATTCAAACAAATAAGAGACATTTTTTACCTTTTCTTTCTTGAAGGTTTCGATTACAACATCACTCGCGTTTATGTCGCTTAAGCACTGCAAAACCTTTACATTTACAAAAAGAGAACATACAATTAAACGCATAATTACCACAATATGCAACATGAAAGGCAGCGATACCTTAGTAGGTACATAAAACAGAAGTAAATAAGCTTAACAGTCGTCCTACTTGTAAATCTCCCAACTATTGTTTGTATATACACACTCTGGGTATCTATAATGTCGCTGCTCGGGACGATCGCAGAAATGATATTAGAAATAAAATGCTAATTAAAATATCTAAATTAAGCATTTTATTGATTTTTTGCAAAAGAACCTGAGAGGAATTCGGTATAACTGCCCGTTTACAGTTGTAATAGTTATGGCTATAAGCTTATCTAGCTAGGCTTGCGTATTCGATCGATCACGTGCATCATATCAACATAAACATTTCCTCGACTTTTTCCAGCCACATATTCTTTTTAAAACACCTCTAAACCATTGCGACACATTTTTCAGGCATTATTCATTCAAAAATAAATGAAAAAGGCTGACTTACTTTATCACTGTATCTTTCACGTTCTTCCTCC